ATCAATTACCGAATCAATTAATAATTCAATAATCACATTGTGATTATTGATATGCATGATCGATCACGTGGGTACAATGCTTTAGCGATCCCCTAAATTGGGGGATCATCTAAAGCCAGGTAGTAATTTATATGTATCACATGAATTTTAAATACAAATTTGTTAGTAATAATCAATTTGGCTTTAGACGATCTCTAAATTGGGAAAATGATTTAATACGTATTACATACGACATTCCATGCAACAATATTTTTAATACGAGAAAAAATATGATTGGTTATTATTATTTATTTTTTTAGTTAGTTTTTTTTTTTTAGTTAGTTATTTATTTTTAGTTAGTTAGTTAGGAAGGGAAAAAAAAAAGTAACATCGGTATTTTATTATTAATGAATTTATTTTGTTATTTCATTTCGTTTGTTTCGCTATATTCTTCGTATTGTCTTTGACGATCATAGATTATCAATTTATCTGACCGTCAAAAAATCCGACAAAAAAAAAACCAATAAATAAATTAATGACAAATTGGTATGTAAAATATCGACAAGCAATTAAATAAAAATGAAAAACGATGCTCTTAATTTCGTATCAACTTCTAGTCCCTAATTTTTTTTTCATCCCATTCACAAGAGCTAGAGCTCTATTGAGCTCTAGCATCTATCATTTATAAAAAAATGGCGGGAGTAGAAATTTCCTTCTTAGGTTTTGCGAGGAAATTTTCACTGCCGATCCCTGCAAAATAGCAGTACAGATTATAAAATTTGGTTAGTCATTTTTTTCTCTCATATAGAAAAAAAGTAAAAAAAGTAATCACTCAATTACACAGCATCGCCAATCATGGCAATCATGGCAACGATAGCCATGCCAAACTTACAAAGCGCTAATAATCGGATTTTGGATAATTTTGGATTGAAATCATTTTAATACGTAGAAAATTATCACAACGGACCAGTAAATCAATTCCAGAGTTAGGATTGGAAGACTGATTCGGAGCGTCGAAACACACATGATCAGACACACCACAGCTACCGCAATTCCGCATTGCCGAATCAATTATTACATTATTGCGATTTGCATAATTTTGTGACCCTATGATTAATTTTTTTATGATTATGATTGCGATCGCGATTGCTAAAGCCGGCCAATTTATCATAAATCTGAGCTTGACACAAACTCAGATTCATGATAAACGGTAATCGCGATCGCAATCATAATAAAAAAATTAATCATAGGGACCACAAAATTATGCAAACCGCAATAATTGTCGATTAACAATATAGATAAATGCAATAACGATGCAATTCGGTAATTTCGACGTCGACTATGCTCCTTTAACGCATTTTTCACATATTAAGATTAATACTACTATTTTTCGTGTTTATCCGATAATAAATAGCAATTACATCATTTTACTCATAAATCATTCCCAGTTGCTAGAAAATATCTATAGTACATTCAAAACAAAAATTTCACCTCGTACTGTTCCAATCAATTTATCAGTACAATTCCATACTCTTGTATCGGTAACCCTTAAAGAGTCATTATCAAGATAAATAAATAAATAATTACAACGACAATACAAATTTTGAAAAAATTGCACGCACATGTTCTCGCCTTCGTGTTGAAGGTTCGAATAAAGAAAAGCTAAAGATGGCTATATAAATGTATATTAAATCATTCATGAATTAACCCGGTAGCAACAACATACTTTATCCAAAGAACACAATTCCGAGCATGATTGAATTAAAATATTACCACCTTTTCCCACAACTTCGACCTCTTTACCGAAATACATTTCTGCCAACTCTTCAACAAAAGCTCCATCATCACGTGGATCCAATCCAAGCTGAATTAAGTGATCTGAGTAAAGGAAAGTTATTTCATCGTCAGACTCGTACACGTTGGATGTTACAATCATTGATCGCAACGTGCTGAAAAGACTAGTTGTTAAAGCTTGAAAAAATCTTGTAAAGAAAAAAAAAATTATTAAGCAAGAATAAATAAATATGAATTATATAACAATAAAAAAAAATATAAATATACCTTATCAATTCTACTTCAATTTCTGAAATATCCTTAGATCCGTCAACGTTTTGCCCATCTTGCGAGGGGTCGTCATGATATCTTAATAGTACATCACCTTCTTCCTCACCCTCACCCCCGTCCCCATAATCATCATTTAATTTTTGATATCCATCTCTCCCATACCACCAAAACCATCCACCAAACATCATTTTGTGCCAAGTATCTGTCAAATTCCCACCGTCTTCCTCATACCCATCTAAAAAATTGACACCATAAGATGCCAACATTTTAAGCAAAACCCTATAACGTCTAATATCAGTAGCATTTATGTTTGTGGATAGATGTGATCCGGGTGATGCGACTAATGTTGGATGCGAATGATTTGATTCACGAACAGGCATATTTACTAAAAGATCGAACAGGTTGCTTTTGTGTTGAAGTATTCGATCAGTAGTACCTGACAGAAACAATTTGAAAATAAAATAAGTTCCGGAAAAAAAAAAAAAAGTAAATTGAAATTTGAGACAACATACATGCAACGTATCCATTTTCTGTAGACTGAATCATTGGAATATCGTTAACGCCAACACTAAATAATGGCTTAATCTTGTCAACTTTATTCTTTAACGATCGGGTGATTGTTGATGGAATATTTGCAAGAAGACATGTTCCATAAACTACAGATAAATTATAAAAGAAAAGGTTTATAATATATATTCACATATAATTTAACAGATATAATTTATAAAATCACCAGAATGACAGATATCCTCCACCGGAGGAGGAGAATAAAATAAAATTCGTTTTTTAAGCAGAGCTGCCTTCCATAGTATGAAAATAGTAGGGCCACATAAACGGACAAAATCTGGGAAATGATGAGCAGGATGTGTCGGCTTATGAAAATTTGTATATGAGGTTGAATCAATAGAAATCAAGCAAATATTTTTTAATAAGCTTTTTTAAAACTTTAAACAAGGACAACTTAATCAAATTTAATAAAATTTTTTTTTAAAATTAATTTTATAAGTTTGTAAAAAATTATTTAAAAAAAAATTTATTAAATTTGGTAAAGCTTTTATTAAGTTATTCTTGTTTATAGTTATAAAAAAATTTTTATTATAAAAAATTTGCTTGATTTCTATTAACTCACCCCCATATGTTATACATATACGTCAGTATAATGAACATAAATTTTAAATTATTACTTGATGGTGCTCACCGAGATTGACGCTGAATAACTGCTAATACTTGTTTCAGTTAAACCTCGGCTGCTTGAAATTGTGAAAGCACGTGGTCTTCGTAATGTTGTCGAATTACCATATGGTTCTATGGAGTCCGAGTTATTTTCTAGAACGTCAGACCGGATGCTATGCTTCTCGAAATATTGGCGAAGGCTAGAGTAATCGTTTGAGAAGTGGACATACCGCCTGTAATGAAGAATAAAATAAAAATGGATTATTTATAATTCATATTCAAGACCACTTGCGCTGTCTGACACTCACACAACCTCATCTCGCAAAAATCCGAGATGCTTCCATGGCCTGCCACAAATGCCGGTTTCCGTAGTTGGAGACACTAAAATTCCGACCGCTGCCATGTGCGCACCTCGGTCATGTGATTCATCCATCGTGGACTCGTTTAGGAATACACTAAGCCCAACATATGGAGGCCTAGAGAAATATCTATTATTCATTCAAAAAGTCAGTCTAATGTTTTAACGTTCAATTGAAGTCTGTATATAATTACACGTTACATTATATCCTGCCTTACGGCGTGTAATCCGCTTGGAATTGCCTGAAACTCGATGCCATCAAGCTCAAAATCTTTAATCATAAAACAAAAGTCAATATGTTTCATTACAATAAGCTGAATAAAATCACTATACTTGCCTTCGGGATATTGCCATTCAATTATATTTCCTTTTTTCGTATCGAATCGAGTCACAAATATTGCAGCAAGATTTGAGGTGTACTCGTCTTCTCCAATTATTTGTTCAGAAGTTGAAAATTCTGTCGATTTTGCTATTTGGGACGTAGAGCCATTCGATAGGGATTCCTGAAATTGCCTAGAAAATTCATTGGTTTTGAAATATTCAATAAGACCAAAAATATAGTATATAAAATAAACATAATTACGTACGTGTTCTTCGCGTTTGAATCGTGCCGTATCGTATTTGTTTGGTTCTGACTGTTTTGAAGAGTTAGGCGAGGATAAACTCAAAATTCAATTATGTAAAATTTCTGTTATTTAAGGCTTGATAGGTAAATATTTTCTTGTATATTCTTCACCTTCGCGAGGTTGTTGCAATACTTTGGTTCGTGCTTGTTTCAAACCCTAAAATTTCCAATGAAGTTTCATTTTGCAAAGTCGGAGTGTTCGTCGTTACATGATAATCAATAGCTGACATTTTTTCTGCGGTTTTGAAAACGAAAATTTTGAGAAAGGGATTTTTATCTCCTCAATGCTACATAGTTACACTAGCAGACAATTTGTAACACGTGAGCATGATGGAAAGTCGTTTTGATTGGCTGATGTGGTACAACTGTAACGTCGATCGTTACACAATTATTTATATTGG